CTTTAGTAGGTGAAGGAGGTTTGAATCCGCTGCCGGGCCCCTCGGCTTCGATCTCCCGAGCAAATCCATCAGGATTTCACGCTGGCTCTTCTTGTCTTGTTTAAGGAAATTCAAGAATGTTCTTATTGATTCCCCCAGTATATGTATGAACTGAACCGAAGGGATTCTCGAGCCCATTTGGCTTTCCTCTCTTCTGTCGTCATCCAAATCTGCCCCCACAAAAATAAAAAATGAAGATAAAAAAATTTATAAATTAGTCATTAAAAATTTAAAAGCACCCCAATCTTTTATCATTTCTCATCAAATTCACAACTATGAAAATAGTATTCAAATATATGAAAATATAGTTTATGCAACACCACTGAAAATGAAGTATATGTGTATTATACCTCGATATTCTGGGACCTGAAGCAGTTTTGGTGCCCTGCTCCTCATCTGGGCACAGACCTCGGGCCTTGGCCCGTGCTCATAAGGCTCAGTCTCAACATACCTTTGCAGCAGAACTTGAAACTGTTGAAACTGCTGAGCAACATAGGCCGGGCAGCCCGAATCAAACTCCCGACGTGAAGCTCGAAGCCTCTGGAAGTACTTGTAGCTCCATCCTAAAGTCTCCCATGTCAAGCATATTCTCGCCACATAAGCCAACTCCAGCTCGCGATACGGGCCCTCCCAATTCCGGCCCGCAGCCCACTTCAACTTGTGCGCTATTCTTTTCGATATGGACTTCGGGCCTGCCTTTATGGATCTCAAAGCCTCTGGAAAAACACATAAACAGCAAATTTCAACAATTCAATCTCTTTTTTTCTTTTTAACTAAAACAAATTGTATTCATGATAATGTATATGCATAAGCACCTATTTCTTGGAGTTTCTGAATGGTTATTCTGTCTAGAAACAGCATTTCTTCATCGTATTTTTGGAAAAGAGTGCAGGACTCCCATTTGGTACAGCTTCTTCTAGATGAGGACGAAAAAGGGTCATCGTTCATGGAGCTTCTCCATTCGGACGAGTCCCTAGATGTTGACCCTAAGGTGAAAGTGTCCTCAAATATCTCCTTCTCTTCTTTTTTATCTTGAGGTAGTAATAGCTCCTTGCCTCGTGACATAGGCTGTTGAAACACCATAGAACACTCATCTTGCCTAAAGCGGATGTCGGTTTTGGGCTGCTGCTTATCTGGAAAAACTGCATAAGATAAAATAATTCATTTTATATGTAAGAAAAAAAGCCCAAAATGATAATATAATTATTTTTTTTCTTTTTTTATTTCTTTTAGACTTATCTGACCTTCATGAGTGACATAATTATTAGAATCCAAACTGGTATTTGTCCTTAGGTTGGTAGCAGAGCTAGATGTGGGCCCATCTTCATATTCTCCAGAATCTGTAGAATCTCCAGAAAGAATCTCCTCCACAACAACTTCATCTTCTATACCAGAATCTACAGCTGGCGTGCTGTACCGACTGCTTTCTTCACAACTATGATCCAAAAGACTTTCTTGTGGCAAATCTTCGATAATCGGTGACGGCTGAAACTGGTCCTTTTGATCGTCTTCACGAATTATGTCGGCCATAAATGGCTCGGGCCCATAATATTCGATTTCTTCTTCCATTTCCTCGTCAGAAAACTCATCAAACTCATAGCTATCTTGATTCCTGCACGAGAAATATAGTTAAGTATTCCTTTTTCACATATTACAGAAATTCCAACTGTTTATTATTTATAGTGATGCCGATCATGCCTGTTGTAAAATGGGCTGCCTCCGAAGAAGATGAATAGCTTGGCAAGGAAAATGAGCGTGAAATGGAAGAAGAAGAAGAGGAGCAAGAAAGAGGACGAGACGTTGTAGAAAAGCCTAACGAATGCTTCCTTTGGGCATTGCAGCATTTTCTTAATCCTTGTCCAGTAGATGAGCTCTCCACTTTATCTAACCCAACTAAGCAAAAGAAGCATTTCAAAGTAAGTGTACAAAAAAGTTGATGAGGGCTTTAAAAATTTGCTCTTGCTCATCTTTTTAATTAGTTTGGCAGGGCCATTCATGCTTTTTCTCCTGGAAAGACAGATATGCCCTTAATGTGCTTTAAGTAATCCCCACGTAAGGTCAACAGTTTTGGGATGACACAGAGCTCATAACCCATAATGCCAATACTAGAATGATCAATTA